TCTTACAAATGCAGTGACTGTGGGAAAGTCTTCAGTTACCGCTCAAACCTTATAGCCCATCAGAGAATCCACACTGGTGAGAAGCCGTACGCGTGTAATGAGTGTGGGAAAGGCTTTACTTACAACAGAAACCTTATTGAACATCAAAGAATTCACAGTGGGGAGAAAACCTACGAATGTCATATATGTAGAAAAGTCCTTACCTCTAGTAGAAATCTTATGGTACATCAAAGAATCCACACTGGAGAGAAACCTTACAAATGTAGTGAGTGTGGAAAAGACTTCAGTCAGAATAAAAATCTTGTTGTACATCAGAGAATGCACACTGGGGAAAAGCCATATGAGTGTGAGAAGTGTAGAAAATCTTTTACTTCTAAGAGGAATTTAGTTGGCCACCAGAGAATCCACACAGGGGAGAAACCGTATGGGTGTAATGATTGTAGTAAAGTTTTTAGGCAAAGAAAAAACCTTACAGTGCATCAGAAAATTCATACAATTGAAAAACTCTGTGAATGTGATGAGTCTGAAAAAGAATTCAGTCAGACCTCAAACCTTCATCTTCAACAAAAAGTCCATACCATGGAAGAATTCTCTTGGCTTCAAAATGCCAATGAACTGAGCCCAAGATAGAGATTCAGAAAATCTAGTGTCGTATGTGAAATGGAATACAATTTCTGCCTATTTAAGCTACTGTTAGAGAAATGGCAGTATGTGGTTCTTAATAGGAAAAAAATTGATTGCCTCTTTCATAGTCAAGTAACTTACGTGTGGAAGAAAGTTATTCTAGATTTTCAAGACTACAAAAACAAATCAAATTCTAGTTAAAGGATACTCTGTTCCAGACCATTGGCTATGACCTAGAAAGAGACCTTAGAGCAAATGAGGACTCAGGAATTTGGGTTTATGTCTTATTAAGAAGTAATGACGTTCTAAGCGATAGCAAAAATATCTTTGTATTAAGAAGTGTAACTTGTTTCGGATAATGTGTATATTACACATTTTAAAGATGGAATCACTGCTGCAGAAAGCCTATGTAGACAGTATGATTGAGACATGTCAGACATGGAGTTGGGTGAGCCAGAGTCTGCTGTTTAGCCCTGGTGAGGTAACTTGGTTGGTTACAGCATCATCCTGATGTGCCAAGGTTGCAGGTTCAATTCCTGGTCAGGATACATATAGGAATCAGCTAATGAATGCATAAGTAATTGAAACAAAAATCTATGTCCCCCTTTCTTTATTAAAAAAAAAATAATTAAAAAAAAGATATGCTTTACTTAAAAAAAAAGTCTGCTGTTTGAGGACAGCTTAACAAGAGCACTGGATTTGGAATCAGAAGACCTAGGTTAAGGTCCTGGCTCTTTCTCTTCTTAGCTGTATGTTGTTACTAAGTCAGCTTCAGTTTCTCCGTCAGTCAAATATTGACATAATGCCTACCTCACAGGATTGTTATGAGGATTTAGTGATCTTTGTGAAATGATTTTGTTGTCAGTAAAATTGGATAAAAGGTATAGTCAAAATCTAGAACATGGCATAATGTTTGTTCAGACTCTGAAACTCAAAAGGTATTCATTTTTATATTAGGATGAAGTGTGGTGGATGACTAACTGGAATTTAGCACTCTAAGGGGACTTTAAAAATATAGCTCTAAAAATGCTTATGGGAATTAATAGATAATATGCCTAGTTTGTTTTTATGTAACAGTACTGGCTTATTGTGGAAACAATAGGTACAGCCGTCATCACTGATACCAAGGCAAACAATTTCTTTTCAACCTTTGAATTGGAAACCTAGTGGATGTAGAGTGTCAGAATGGAAGACCAGACCTATGTGGCTCACCTTGTTCATGGGGGAAAGTCCTTAACTCCAGCCCTTGAGCTCATTATCCCTGCCACTGTCATTCTCAGTTCTAATCACCATTTTGTCATCACTGACATGAGATAGCATGTTACTCCAGAAACAGTGCTCTGTCCCAGTACTCAGCAACGTACACAGCCAAGCCCTTCAAGCTCTAATTAAACCAATTCAGAACCCACCTCTGGGCAGTGAGGCCCATTATTCCCTAAACCAACCATTCATTCAGTCTTCCCTTTTGTACATTTATAAGATTAATTCAACCTGTATTCTTGAGTTGGTAAATTTATGTTTTAATTCTCTCTCTCTCTTTGTAATGTTGTACTTCTCAAAACTCCAATTCTGCAGCTGGACTATTAATACCTTAACATCAGGATTGTGTTTTCTAATACCAGCAGTGTTGAAGTAGTGTGTTCATTATAATAAGTATTATTAAATCATCTCCAAAGTTCCTTGAGGGCTGGTTCCTCATTAGAATGAAAGATACCCAAGAGTGAAAACTGGCAGGAGCCCAAGGTTAAAAGTATCATCACCTGGTTATGAGTCAGGTTCTGCAACTTCCCTTGGACAAATGCCTTTATTTCTCAGAGCCTGGATTTCCTCATCTGTAAAACAGGAGGAAGAATATCTACCTCACAAAGTTGTTATGAGGTAATGAATATGAAAATGCTTTATATCCATGCTGCAGAAGGAGAACCACCCCAGATTATGTAATAATTACAAAAGGAATGATGTACTTTAATAACAGAGCAGGTATTTACCTCAACCAATTAAAATGCAACATCAATACCCTGACCGGTGTGGCTCATTTGGTTGGGCAATGTTCCTCAGAGCAAGAGGTTGCTGGTTTGATTCCCATCAGGTCACTTGTTTTGGTCCCCGGTTAGGGCATGTAAGAGAGGCAGCTGATGGATATTTCTCACATTCATGTGTTTCTCCCTTTCTCCCCCCACCCCAAATAAAATCTTTTTTAAGAAATGCAACATCACTTAAGACTGAAACAACCCACATGCTGTGCTGCCTCATGTGATACAATAAGCCAAAGTTAGGACCTGAATTCAGGTTTCTTGGATCCTAGTTTACAGGAAACACAGGAGGCAGAAGAAGATAACACCACAAGAAAAAAATTCAGAACATGAGATACTGTATTAAAAAAAACCGCCCTGGATTCTTAAAAACAAGAGGGGTGATAATCTTTGAAGCTGTATGAGTATTGAGAGTTCATTGTACTGTTCTCTGCTGTGTGTGTATAGAGAGAGAGAGCACGCAAGCACGAGCCCCAGGAATAGACTCAAATGTCCAGTTAATTTTTGCCAAAGATGCAAAAGGAATTGGGTATTGGAAGGCCTTTTCAGCAAATGCTGCTGGAGCAATTAGACATCCATAGGCAAAAATACATAAAAAAATAAATCATGAACTAAGTCTAAGCAAAGAACTCAGATTTGTATCAAAAACATGCTCCATAAAAGGAAAAAAAAAAAAATTGGATCTCATCAGGTTAAAATGATTTGCTTTTTAAAAGACACTTTTAAGAGTATTTAAAGACATTACAAAAGGGGAGAAAATATTTACAAATCATATATCCATACAGGATTTGTATCTAGACTATATAACAAATTCTCCAAACTCAATAATAGATTTTAATTAGAAAATTATAGAAAGTCGCAAACACGTTGCTCCAAAGTATGGATGGCAAACAAGCAAATGAAAAGATGTTTGACATCATTAGCCATTAGGGGAATGCAAGTTAAAAAGAACTGCGCAGAACAGAATTTTAGCAAGAGGTGTTAACACCAAATGCTGGCAAGGATGTGGAGAAACTGTATCTCATGTTTGCGAGGGATGTTAGATGGTACGGCCATTCTGGAGAATAGCTTGGCAGTTTCTTCCCAGTATTTACCCTCCTGAGCATTTGTCCCAAAGAAGTGAAAACACGTCCGCATGAAAACCTGTTCATGACTGTTCCCAGCAGTTTTATTCACAATCAAAATTGGTAAGTAACACAAAAATCCTTCAGCAGGTGATTAAAAGAAACTGGTATATCTATACCATGAATACTTCCTACAGTGCAATAAAATGGGATGATCTATTGTACTTGTGGTCACTCAAGTGAATTCCAAAGAATGATGCTGAGTGAAAAACTCAAAAGGTCAAAAAGTACATGATTTCATTTATATAATCTAAAATGACAAAATGATAGAGGTGAAGAACAGATGAGTGGTTGCCAGAGGTGGGGGATGGAGGGAGGGAACCGGGGAGACGGGACGGTAGCACTAAGGGGGATCTTCATAGTATTGGAACCGTTGTGTGTCTTGCTCATGGTGGTTACACAAATCGATACATGGGATAAAATGACAAGTATACACACACATTGTACCAGTGCTGGTTTTCTGATTTTTATATAGTTATGTAAGATATACCTGTTGGGGGAAATTAGGTGAAGGGTATTATCTTTGCAACTTCCTGTGACTCGATAAATTTTTTTAAAAAGTCAAAACAAAGACTAAAGAGCCATAATCATATGCAGTCTGTGAAAATGACTTGGAAAAAGAAGATTATGAAATATATATTTTAGGACAGTAGGGGAAATTTGAATATAACTGGATATTAGGTAATAGGGAATTCTTGCTAATTTTCTTACCTGTAATGATGGTGTTTGGAGAATATTCTTATTAAAGGATGAATATTGAAGTATTTGGAATGAAGTGTTTCGATGTTTACAATTAAAAAAAAACTTTCAGTGTATGTATAGTACAAGGCAAACGTAGCAAAGTGATGATTGTTGAGTCTAGATGGCGGAAACGGGCATTCATTGTACACTTTCTTCCAGTTTTCTGTACCGTTTGATATTTACAAAATAAAATATTTGGAGCAAAATTATCAGGGCTTTCTGCAGATTAATGCTTTGTAGCTTCGGGCTCCCAGGTGCGCCCTTCGCTCAACTGCCCCCGCTCAGCGTGGGGATGTCCCCATCCCTGAGGCCCGGGGCCGCAGCCTACCTGCACCATCCTGCTTGCGCGCTCTGGGTCCCAGCCCTGATCGGGAGCGAGAGTGGACACCCATCGAGAGGAAAGCACCTCCGAGGTTCCTAGAGAGGCCGGCCTGGCGACTTGGGGAGCCGGAAGCCCATCCCGAGGCACTTCCTGTCCGGTCATTGTTCTCGCGCCGCTAGGCGCAGAGGTCCTGGTCCGTAGTCCTGCTTCCCCAAACCCCGCGAGCTCCGGCCGGGCCTTTCGGCGGCGCACGGTGAGCGGGCTTGGCGGGGGTGGGCGCTGACGCCGCGGGCGAGGGACCAGCCATCCCGGCGGTGGACCAACGCATCCACTCGCCAGGTCGCCAGCTGTGTCCGAGGGTGGCTCCGTGCCCCACGACTTTCGGAAAACCGGTTGCCGCCTGCGGAGGGCCTGGCCTGGGGCATGTTGGACACGAATCTCCCCCAGGAGCCTGGCTTAGCCCTGGAACAAGGCTGCGCGGGGCCTGGTGGAGGATGGGCAGCCACGTTTGGAAATAGGGAGAGAACAGTGAAGGGGAAGTTCTTGCTGGGGACTCAGTGCTGTCTAGAGCTGGACGCCGTTTTAAGTTTGATCAGCAGTCTGATGGCATTACTCACATTAGCCAGTCTTTCGCGTTCACAGGTGAAACGGGTGTTACAAGGGTTCTCCTTACCTGGTAGAATTCAGCTAGTCAAGGACAGAATAATCTTACAGAAGATTTGTTGCAGTAATAAAAATATTGCATTACTCAAGATATTCAATCTATATTATAAGTTGCCAGTAAGTTAACATCTTGGAAAAAGCATATGAACACTTTAATAGCAGCAAAAGGAAAGTTAGTAAAATGTAGCATTTTTTTTCTTTTTGAAAAAAAATTATTGATGGATTTTTAGAGAGCGAGGAAGGGGGAGAGAGACGATTTGTTGTTCCACTTATTTATGCGTTCATGGGTTTGATCCCTGTATGTGCCCAGAAGGGGGATCAAACCCGCAACCTTGACAATTAGAATGATGCTCTGACCAACTGAGCTGCCTCTGGTCCAGGGCTAACATTCATTTTTTTTTAATAATAAAGCATCCAAAGGGGAATGGAAATTTCTCATTCTCATAATGAACGAAAATGTTAAGATAATTTTATCACAAAATTTTTTAAACAGCAAAAACCTGCTGGCTTGTCTATGATAAACGAATACTGTTAAGTTGGTGGTGGTGTGATTTGGTGTGGTCCTTTTAGAAAGCAATTTGGCAATACATGTCAACCGTAAAAATCCTTCAACCTGTAATCTCTCTTATTTTCACAGAAAAAAAATTTTAACAATTATTATTAAGGAAATAACTGGAAAGAATCAAAACTCCTTTTACTAAAGCAGTGGTTCATAAGTAAGAGATAGTTAAGTAAATTATAGCTGTAACTGAGAGTACTATGTCAGAACGTGATAGTTCTGAATGTACTTGTATTGAAACATCTAAGACTACTAGACTGTTGTGAAATACGGAAATTGAGTTCAAAAAACAAACTGCAGATTGCTGAACAACATACGTGTGTGATGTAACATGCTGTGGGAAAATATGTGAAGGTGTACACACATGTATGACAATGCAGAGAAAACACTAAATAGACTGATATCTACTCTGTGTTATATAGGACATATCTTTAACTCTATACATTTATGTACTACTTGACTCTTTTTCAATGAGAATAGTAATTAACACCATAGGTTATTGTGTAGCTATTAAAAATAACAAATATTAAGAATCGCAACATGAAAAATCTTTTTTATCTTAAAAGTGTTATTTATCCCTGCCTGGGCTAAATAATAGCTCAGTGGATTGAGTGCCTGCCTGTGAACCAAGAGGTCACTGGTTCAATTCCCAATGTAGGACACATGCCTGGGTTGCAGGCCAGGTCCCTAGCAGGGGGCACATGAGATGCAACCACACATTGATATTTCTCTCCCTCTCTTTCTCCCTCTCTTCTCCTCTTTAAAAATAAATAAATAAATAAATAAAATCTTCTTAAAAAATTGAAAAAAAAAGGAAAGAACTATATTCTATGCTACATAACAGTTACCTCTTTGGAAATGGATAAGAGATGATTTTTAATGATTTTCTGTATTTTTCAAGTTTTTATAATAAAAATTAATTTTATAATCAGGGAAAATAATCAAGAGACGTTATATAAAGCTGTTTATAATGTAATTATCATGGGGACAAACTACATGCTGACAGCCCAGCCCCTTCCGTCCTGGGAGTGAGGCGTAGAGCAGACCCTGTGCTGCAGTGGCCACACGCTGCCCAGGCACTGGTGGGCTCGGCCCGTGGGCCCAGGGGCAGCCAGGCAAACCTCTGCTCTGCGCTAATGGTGTGTTCTGGTTTCTCAGGAGGCAGCACTGGCCTGGGCCCTGGGAAGAAACGGAAGAAGAAACTTCTGAAACAGAACGGTTAGATGGGGCTTGACCTCTGCGGGCAGCCCCCAGCTGTAGTCCCCCTGCCGAGCGGAGCAGATGACTGCCGATCTGAGAGAGGCCATGGCCCTGGCCCCTTGGGGCCCAGTGACAGTGAAGAAGGAGGAGGAAGAGGAGGAAACCTTTCCGGATCAGGCACCCGGCCCGCAGGCCCACTCTGGGAACATCAAAGCCTGGGCCCCTGGGCAGGCTTCCCACGGAGGCCTCGATGTAGCGGAACAGGAGGAGAAGGTGAGTGACGGCCTTGGGGGAAATGAGGGGGGAGAAGCCTACAGATGTCCGGCGGTGTCGGGGTGGGGCGCTGTCCCGCTGCCTGCAGATCCGGGGTCTTGTTTCTTAGCGAGGGCCCTGACCTTTGGTCCTTTGAAATACAATCAGAACATTCTCTTCTGATTGGCATGACAGTTAGTACTTTATAAACCGGTGGTCCTCAGACTTGGCTGCACAGAGCCACGTGGGGAGCATTTTATAAGCTTGGGGTGTCCGTGCCCTGCCCCATTGCAGGGAAATCACTGTCCCTTGGGGTGGAGGATGCAGACTTTGGTAGTTTTAAACACTTTTTAGGTGGTTCCAGTCAGGATTTGCTGATTCTAACCCATGTTTCTCACACTTTAATAATGCATAGGAATCGCTGCAGCAGGGTCTTGTTAAAGTGCGGGTTCCCATTCAGAAGGTCTGGGGTGTGGCCTGAAGTTCTGCATTTCTCACGAGCCCCCAGGCGATGGTGACTCTTGAGTGGCGGGCGGCACTTTGAGTAGTGAGGCTGTGCGCTGTACTGCGGCCCTTAGGTTTTCACACATCCTCCTTAGCATCGCTAGTGGTAAGGTTCCCTGTAGTGATATGATCTTCTTTGATCTGTAGGTCTTAGAAAATTCTGCTCAGGAAAGTGTCCCCATGTGCTCTCTTGTCTTCTCACACAGTCCCTCGCAGTTTAGGTTTGGATGCCAGAGAAGGCGGTGAGGTGAAACCAGGCTGATAGGGAAGAAGGTGGCAGGCCTGCTTCTCTGCCTCATTCGCTTTGAGGATTAGGAAAGACTCTGGCTTCCTTTTCTTTTTTTAAAAAATAGTTCACGAATTGCAGTTGTGTGGAAATTGTTTGTTTGTTTGTGTATGGTTTCTAGGAATAGGTACTTACGTTCTTATCCTCAAAAGCTGTCATCGTACCTGACTCTGCCCCTCCACCCCCACCTCTGCAACCGTTCTCTCATAAACGCACCTGTGCCTGTTCTCTAGGGTGAGAACCTGTTCTGGGACATGGCAGTGGTCCTGAAAGCAACGCAGGAGGCACCTGCTGCTGCGGCCCTCGGCAGCTGCGCATTACGGGGGAATTTGGCCAAGGGCGAGGTCCTGGAGAGTCATGGGAACGTGGCCTCGCTAGGTAAGTTCAGCCCCCTGATTCAGAGCACTGAGAGGTGCCTATGCATATGTCACGGGAAATGGTTTGTTTTGCAGACACACACAGGTAATCTTCACATTCACCTTTTCATCACATTTATTGCTCAGCAGGTTTCGTATCTATTCATACATGTAGGGATATGTCCTCTTCATATACTTTGTGTTCAGCATAGGCTGGTGAGCCTGCATGAGAAGCCAGCTAAGGTAGCAGGGCCCAACTTTTGTGGTAATTGTGAGAAAATGCCCTGGAGTGTTTTGTTTTCCTAGATCTTTGTACACATTCTAGAAGATTTTGAGAAGTTGTGTCAGCTGTAAGGATGTTCCAAACTAGATCTTCATGGAGAGTTCATTGGACTATCACCTGGGTCTCTAAGCTGGAATTCAGGAAAGGGCTTTGTGTCTAGCTATCAGCAATGGAAGCTTGCCAGCAGAGTGGCACATGACTGTGGTCTCCGTGAGTCCTGTGTTGTGGAAACAACTTCTGGGTAACTGCTGAGGCCCCTTTCGGCACTCGGTCCATGAGCCTGCCTGGTACAGGGCTGAGTCTGAGTATGTCGAACCCGCCCCCCTCCCTGGCCAGGTCCTCAGGCATTTTCGAACCAAGTCACTTTCCTCAACCAATGTTGCGAGAAAGATTAGGATCTCCCCTTTGTGTCTGTTACTCATTCTCCAAACTCTCCGCAGACTCTTTTCCCCACTTTTTGCTTTCTGTTCCATCCTCAGTGGAGCATGCCTCTGTGTATCACTTTCTCTGTTTCCTTGCTTTTTCAGTCATTCGTAGTCCTAACTGCAGTAACTGCACTCATCCAGCAGGAACGACCTCTGTTTTCCTTCTCTGCCTCTTGCTTCAGCAGTCTGTTCCCAGCCAAGACTTGCTTTCCTGTGCTGCCAGCCATTTCCACAGTAGCAGGTGATAGTGGGAACACTGAGCTCTAAGAATCAGGAGAGACCTGAGGGTATTTGCTCCCCCGCCTCTGCTAATTTTGTGACCTTGAGCCTATTGGCTCACTCTCTGGACCTCCACTCCCTGTTCTATGAAGCAGGGCCGCCTTCATTCGGGAGACGCAGGGTTTGTTGGGGGCGGGCTTCCTGCATCCCAGGCAGGGCCGTTGTGCTGGGGATAGAGCAATGGAAAAGACAGAGACTTGCCCTTTATACCTCCTACACAAGTGAAGGAGAAGTTTCATTTTGATGTAAAATCATTATACTATTCATGGAAGTGCTGTGAAATTTTGATGTGTTACTGGGTTTTTAAAGTCTGAAAGAGTTTATCTGTAGTTTCCTATATAGTTAAAGTTGACACATTCAAATCAAGTTTTGATACATTTAAGAGTAACTTATTTTCAGTTAATTTATACATCTAGAAATATTTTTATAAACATGAAAATACTTGTACTTCTTTAATTCGTAGTTAGGTAAGCTTCAAGTTTTACAAAGTAAAATTTTTTAACTTTTTTTTGGTCATTTAATTCTACCTACATAACAATTTACTTTTATTTTCTCAAGAAAAAAGTATAGTAAATTATAAATTTAATATCTTTAGTTCTTTAAAACATTTCCAACACCTAGGTAGGCAGACTTACAAATCTTATAAATCTTGATAAACATAAATCTTTAGTAAATCTAATGAATGGGACTTAAAAATTTAGTATATCAAACTACCCTTCATAGCTCAGAATACAGCCAGCAGCTAATTAGAAAGTGAAAGGAATGTATTTTTCTTTTGATTTTGCTTTGAGCTTAAGCACACAGCATTGGCTTTGGTTTTCCTGGTCACTTGCCAAGACCCTACCTCTTCATCCATCTGTGTGAGGAAACTGTTAAATAACCACTTACATCAAGACCTTTTGGGCTACAGTTATACTTGGTTGTGCAATAATTTTAACACACCGCATTATGCAAATGTAAGGAATGTTTCTGTTACTGGACCTAACTGGTTCAGTAGTAGTTCCCACTGGTCTTCATCTTTCACGGCTCTCTTAAGTCTCACAGTAAGGAAGGTGGGAGTGAGGTAAGGGGCTAACGGGTTCCTGGGCTTTGTTCTGTTGGGGACCTGCTTTGTGGGGGATGGGCCCCTCAGTATCAGCGGTGAGGAGCTGAAGGAAAGAAGGAGGGGGAAGCAGGGAAGGAGCGGCAGAGGGAGAAAAGTAAGGTGTGGTGTAGGCAATAATGGTAGAGAGCAGAAACAGGAAGCATGTAATGAGCAAAGGAAAAGCAGAAGAGACATGAAAGTGTACAAGGGGAAAATCAGAATGTTTGACATAAAAGTTTTAAAAAATAAACACCAGGAGAGGAGAACGATAAGACAGGCAGTAGGGAAAGGAGGTAGAGGGAAAAAGTAAGAAGATGTAAAAGCAGTGAGATTGAAGTAACCAGAAAAAGATTAACATTTCAGGTTTTTTTTATTGTTGCATTTGGGGCTTTACAGTATATCATGCTCAGGCCTTTCCTTCCTGTGACGCTGCCCTTCTTACCTGAATGATTGTGATGGAATTTCATGTCACCATAGTCTGAGCCAGGCAGCGAAACGGGGCTGTTGCCCAGAGCCCCATATTGCTCTGTCCCTGCCACTCGTCTCCTGTTAGAGTCACCCTGGCCTGGGCCGGTGGGACCTTCTGTGGACGGCGGACCCCCCCGCAGGCAGTCGCTGTGTGATGCCGCTGCTCCTTCCGAGCTGACCCTGCCCATGGGAAGGCCTGCCTCCCACCCCTGCTGACCCTCATCCCACTTGCCTTATTGTTCGAGTAGTGTCCCTGAGCTTTATTTAATTCCCAAACCCTTAATAAGGGCTCGCTTTGCCAGCTGCGTGGGTGCGCATTGCACGGTCAAGGGCGGTGGGGCTGGAGACGAGACAGAGCTGCGATGCCACAGGCTGCGGGCCCCCGTGTGGACACCGTCCGGGTCCTGATGCAGCGGAGCAACCAGAAACTAGTCAGAGTTTTAAAACTTCGGGAAGTTTCCGCCCTGGCTCAGTGGATTGAGCACCAGCCTGCAAACCAAAGGGTCCCTGGTTCAATTCCCAGTCAGGGCACATGGGTTGTGGGCCAGGTTCCCAGCTGGGGGCATGCAAAGGACAGTTGATCGATGTTTCTCTCCCTCCCTTCCCCTTTCTGTAAAAATAAATAAGTAAAATGTAAAAAAAAATTTTTAAATAAAACTTTGGGAAGTTTTGGTGTTCTCATGGTATTTTTTGGCACGATGGAGCAGGCTGCATTACGTCTCACACTCAACTCAAAAAGGTCAGCTTTCTCTGACACAAGGCTAGGCTGTTTCCTCGACACAAGGGGTAAGGCGTTTGTTCTTTAGAACCTTCTAGTGTTGCCACCTATCACCATAGCAACTGCCATCCCCTAGGGTTCATCTTTCCTCCTGGCTCCCAGCACCATGACCCACAGGACCACAGGTCAGGCCGAAAGACACCGTGGACACTTGCAGAGCCACTTCCTGTGCTCCATGGCTCTCCTCGGCTGTTGACATAGAGAACTCAGTTCCTCTTCTCGTGGTCTAATGAGGTAGAGATTGTTATAGTTTCCATTTTAGAGGTAGGGAGACTGAGGCACAGAGGAGTTAAGTTACTACCCACAGTCATGTGATTGGTGCGTGGCAGAGCAGGTATTTGAAAGCAGTCTGGCTCTGCTGCACGGCCTCTCAGTGACGGGGGGGCTTTTGGCCACTGCAGTCCTCTGGGCGTCTAGCATGGCCCTTTCTGTTCCTGTTCACCTTCTCTTTGCTGTCTAGCATCCTCAGACACAAAGCTAAATTGCCTAGATCTTCCTTCACACGTAGGGAACCTCCCTAACAAGCTGGTGCGTCATAAGCAGATTCACACTTGGAGGCTAAGGTAAGAAGGCGAGCCTGGGGACACACTGCCCTTCAGAACTGGTCTCCAATGTGAGCTCAGGCACCAGACAGCTGGGAGGAGACCTGTCTGGGGACGGCTTCCCTGGCATGAGGCAGCATGTTAAGTGTCCAATGGAGGTAAAGGGAAATGCTGGAGAGACCATGAATCGGTGGCTTCCGCTCTGAGCGTGGGGAGGTCACAGGCCTGGCAGAAGAACCTGCAGAGGAGAGGTGACATCTGAGGGGATTTTTCCCTTGATAAAGACCTTTTACAAACACTGAAGTCACATACTTCCTGACCTTCATGACTTTATGATCCTGTTCTTTCTCTAGGTCAGCAAAAGTTGACATTTGTATTTTTTGTTCATTTCAGGTGCTGAAACCAGGAACCCACAGTTATTGGTTCCAAAAACTGAAATATGTGATGAAGCAGAAAAACCTTTCATAATACCAGAAAGAATCCAGAAAGCTGACTCTCAAGGACCGGAGGTAGAAGAAGCATGTGAAAAAGGGACCATGTTGAAAAGGCAGAGAATAAAGAGGGAGAAGAAAGATTTCAGACAAGTGGCAGTGAAGGACTGTCACGTACCTAAAAGCTTCAAAGAAGAGGAAGACCAGAAATGTCAGAAATCCGGGGAAAGATACCCCTTGAGTTCTGGCCCCGTTAAAAACCAGAAAAGCCAGGCTGGGCAGAAACCTTTCACCTGCAGTGTGTGTGGGAAAGGCTTTAGTCAGAGCGCAAACCTCGTGGTGCACCAGCGAATCCACACGGGGGAGAAGCCCTTCGAGTGCCACGAGTGCGGGAAGGCCTTCATCCAGAGTGCGAACCTCGTTGTGCACCAACGAATCCACACTGGACAGAAGCCCTACGTGTGTTCCAAGTGCGGGAAAGCCTTCACTCAGAGTTCCAACCTGACAGTGCACCAAAAAATCCACTCCTTAGAAAAAACTTTTAAGTGCAGTGAGTGTGAGAAAGCCTTCAGTTACAGCTCACAGCTTGCTCGGCACCAGAAAGTCCACATCACAGAAAAATGCTATGAGTGTAACGAGTGTGGGAAAACATTCACGCGGAGCTCCAACCTCATTGTCCACCAGAGGATCCACACCGGGGAGAAGCCTTTTGCCTGTAATGACTGCGGCAAAGCCTTCACCCAGAGCGCCAATCTTATTGTGCATCAGCGAAGCCATACTGGTGAGAAGCCATATGAGTGTAAAGAGTGTGGAAAGGCCTTCAGTTGTTTTTCACACCTGATCGTGCACCAGAGAATCCACACTGCAGAGAAACCTTATGACTGCAGTGAGTGTGGAAAAGCCTTCAGTCAGCTCTCTTGCCTTATTGTGCACCAGAGGATTCACAGTGGAGACCTTCCCTATGTGTGTAATGAGTGTGGGAAGGCCTTCACCTGCAGCTCCTACCTGCTCATCCATCAGAGAATCCACAACGGGGAGAAGCCGTACACGTGTGGCGAGTGTGGCAAGGCCTTCCGGCAGAGGTCGAGCCTCACTGTGCACCAGCGAACACACACTGGGGAGAAGCCCTACGAGTGTGAGAAGTGTGGCGCGGCCTTCATTTCCAACTCGCACCTCATGCGACACCACAGAACCCACCTGGTTGAGTAACGAATCAAGGACGTAGATGCCCCTGCTGGTTCCTTCCTCCTTTGTAAAAACGAGGCCTGATCTGTCCTTAAAAATTACATTTTTCAGGAGTGCAGCACAAGATAAACATTTCAGAGGCAGACGTTAAGAAAATGAAACCTAAGCTCCCAAAGGCAAGGACTTTGTTTTTAACTGTCCCCTAAGTGGTGATGTTGCCTGAAATAGAATGTGGCTTTCCTAGAAATGCGTCCTATAAAGCCAAGTGATAAAGGTCTCATTTGGGGAAAGGTATTTTTAAGCTCTTAAGTTTTGTTTTTAAAAACTGGTAATTTCTTGAGCAACAGGCAGGTTACTGGAGAAGGTCTGCCTGGTGGAATTCTGGTGCTTTGAACCTTTTCTCCTAGTATTTGGGGTTAAGCAGTGACTAGTTACAGAAACTACTTGGGGTGGTAATTCACCAACAACTCACCTATGAATATAAGCTTTCCATTCCCTAGGTAATCAAAAACAAAAACAATTTTATAAACCTATTAACCGTCTACTCCTAAAATGGACAAAAGTGGGAAAACAGCTTTCCCTCGTTGTCTGTACCTCATGAACCTTGGTGTGGTGGAGCTCTGGGGAGCCCTGGTGAATCTCCTGCCCATTCCCCGGCGCACCTGGCCAGGCCCTGGAGGACGGGTGGAGACAACACACTGGGGCTGCTTCGCGCCTCTCCTCACGGCGCCGACTCCCACTGCCTTCCATTCCAGTGGGACGCTCCTGACAGCCCTTTCCCAGGCAGAGGGGTCCAAGGAGAAGCTGGCCCAGAGGCAGGCCCATGTTTTCTCCCCAGTTTAGGCGTCATTCTCACTCTCTGGATGGTCTTTAGAGGGGGAAATGGGGCCCTTCTTACTCTGGGAGGACCAAAGAGGGAAATGAAAGGGGGGGGGGCACAGAGTGGGGTTCCTAAGGTCTTAGGTGTTGTTTTTGTTTTTGTTTTTTGAGAAGTTCAAAGGTATTGGAACATGAAAACTTTTAGAAGGATGAAGAAACTGGCTAAGGTAAGATACGTTTGTTACCACTGAGCCTTTTACTCCTGGAAAATTATTTATAAAACTATGCAATAGGTAGAGTTATGTAACATTGCCTTGTATTTATATGGAACTTGAGTCTCTGTGTACCTTCATGTATAGTACCATGGTACCCAGCACTTATCTCATGCTTTATGTAGATCATTACCTTAATCCTTGCAGCACTGAAAGAGGTGTTTGCCCCATTCACCTGCAAGTGGTCATTTAAAGCAAGGCCACGTGATAAGTGACAGCCTGTATTCAAATCCAAGATCTAAATCCAGATTCTCTTTGTTCTGCCATACTGCTTGTCCAGCCACTTGTAATCCCCACCCAGGTCTGTTGAGAGACAAGAAAGGGGCGTGCAGTCTCATTTTTAGGTAAGGAAGCTGAGGTGACAGGTTTTGGGGGCGTGCCTTAAGCAGTGTGACCAGCAGGCAGCACATCTAAGACGGGAATGTAAGTCTCCTGACTGCTCAGTCTGTCCACCACCACCTTTCAGCGTGGGAGAGCCTTTACCATGGGTGCCACACCTGGCGGTAAGCGGTTGGGTGCCACTCGTGTGGAGGAGGCCCATGCTCTTCTCATCTCATGTCTGCAAGGCTGAGTGTTAGTCATCATGGTGTTTAGTAGTTTACAGAGCACTTTCACATACAGGAAGCACAGACTAAAAAGCTTATTAATTTCTTCTTTTCCTCCTTTAACTGCAGTCTTTCATCAAAGCACGTGCAACCTCTTTCCCCGCACCACTGAGTCAGAGGGACACAAACACAAGAAATCAGGATTCAGTATTAAGAATCAAAAATGCTCAAGTCCTCGTAAATCCTATCAGTGACCCTTTCTGTTCCCTGTCTGGATGTGGAGAGATCTAGAAATAACAGACCTACTGAGATTAGGATCAAGTTAGGGCCCCCCACCCCCACAAAGCATGATCAGGAAGCTCGAAAGAGGGAGAGCAGGTGTGAATTTTGGGGATAAACTGTGACCGACCCACCCAGAGCTCAACGATATACCTTCCTGGAAGCTGTCACCTGGGATGTATGAGCATTAAGACAGGTAAACTGTATTTAGTTTTACGTTGTATACCCATCCTCATGCTCAGTCATGGATGATTGTGATTTCCTGGTGAAAGATTTCCATTCATAGGTAGTTCAGAAGAGGCACCAGGTGATTGTGATACAAAGCTAGGTCTGGGAATCGTTGACCCAACCTTGCAGTAAAGCAGTAATATTCAGCCTTGCTGCATGTCACCTAAGGATTTTAAAAATTTTTTTCTTTTTAAGTATATTTTATCGGTTATGCAATTGCAGTTCCATTTGTTTTCTCTCCTTTGTTCTCCACCTGGTACTCCCATTCCCTCCAACAACCCCCCTCCTTAGTTCATGTCCATGGGTCATACATAAAAGTTCTTTGGCTTTTCCATTTCCTACACTATTTTTAATGTCCTTCTGTCTATTTTGTACCTATCAATTATGCCTCTACTCCTTGTACCTTTTTCTTTTCTCTCATTCTCCCTCTTCCCACTGATAACCCATCATGTAATCTCCATTTCTATGATTCTGTTACTGTTCTAGTTTGCTTAGTTTTGTTTTTTTGTTCTTTTAGGTTTGGCTGTTGATCGTTTGAGTTTGTTTACATTTTATTAATAGTTTTGGTCTTCTTTTCCTTAGATAAGTCTCTTTAACATTTCATATAATAAGGGCTTGGTGATGATGAACTCCTTCAACTTTACCTTGTCTGGAAAGCACTTTATCTGCCCTTCCATTCTAAATGATAGCTTTGCTGGATAGAGTAATCTTGGATATGGGTCCTTGCTTTCCATGGCTTTGAATACTTCTTGCCAGCCTCTTCTTGCCTGCAAGGTTTCTTTTGAGAAATCAGCTAATCATCTTATGGGAACTCCTTTGTAGGTAACTCTGCTTTTCTCTTACTGCTTCTAAGATTCTCTCTTTACCTTTAACCTTTGACATTTTAATTATGATGTGTCCTGGTGTGGCCCTTTTTGATTCCAGCTTCTTTGGGACTCTGAGCTTCCTGGACTTGTATGTCTATTTCCTTTGCCAGACTGGGAAAGTTTGCTTTCATTATTTTTTCAAATAAGTTTTCAGTTTCTTGCTCTTCCTCTTTTTCTGGCACCTCTATGATTTGGATATTGGAACATCTAAAGTTGTCTCAGAGGTTCCTAAGCCTCTCCTCATTTTTTTGAATTCTTGTTTCTTCATTCTGTTCCGGTTGAATGTTTATTTCTTCTTCTGTCCCAAATCGTTGATTTGAGTCCCAGTTTCCTTCCCTTCACTGTTGGTTCCCTGTATATTTGTATTTATTTCACTGTGTATAGCCTTCACTTATTCCTTTATTTTGCAGCCATATTCAGTCATTTCTGTGAGCATCCTGATTACCAGTGTTTTGAATTTTGCATCTCATAGGTTGGCTATCTCCTCATCACTTAGTTCTTTTTCTGGAGTTTTGATCTGTTCTTTCATTTGGGCCATATTTCTTTGTCTTGGTGCACCTATTACGTTGTAAGGAGCAGAGACTTAGGTATTTGCCAGGGCAGGGCAACTCAGGGAGCTGCATTGTGGTGCTGCATGGCAGGGAGGGGTCAGAGAGGGAACAGTGCCACTTGCTCAGCTCTTGGCCGGCTTTCAGTCACTTCCCCGCTTCCTGCAAGCAAATGGAGCCCTTCCAGGTGCTGCCCTGGTGCTGATTCCCAGGTCAGTGGCCCGGTATACATTCAGGGACCCCATGGGCCCTCAGATGGACTCTCCTGAGAGACTGGCAGTTTCTTTGCCATCACAACTCCCACAGGCTTTTTTACAGCCAGAGGTTCTGAGGCTTTATTTTTTTCCCCCAGTGCTGGGACCCTGAGTTGCGTGGTCTGACTCACTCCCCAGTTGTTCCTCCATGTTTTTATCTGCATGTGAATGTGGGGCTGCCTGGTCCACCAGCTGGTGCCTAACCCGCCTCCTGGCTGTATCTCTGCCCCTCCTACCAGTCTGTGTGATGTTTCTGCTTTAACTCCTTGGTTGTCGGACTTCCATACAGTTCCATTTTCTGGCAGTTCTGGTTGGTTTTTGTTTTTAAATTAGCTGTTACTGTTCTCTTGGTTGTGCAAGGAAGTGAAGCGTATCTGCTTATGCCTCCATTTTGGCCAGAAGTTAGTGAAAAGTGAAATTTCTTTTTCTCTTTCCAGGCCTCAGTATTTTTAAAACCCTGTAGGCAATCCATTGTGCAACCAAGGTAATGGGCCGCAGCAGTCACTTAAAGCCCAGGCCCAGAATGTCTGTGATCAAATCAGGGGAGGGGCATAAAACTATGGATGCCCAGAGTGTTCTGTGTGGTTTCATCAAAACAGGATGTTAACTACATTGGCTGCCCTGAGAGTCCTTCTATTGTATTAACTCCTGGCTATTAAGATTCTATGACCTGACTTATTTTATGTGTATTTTCAGTGAATATAGCAAGTATTTTATTTATATGAGCAAACCAAGTTTTATGTAACATGAGTTTATGTTCCTCATTCATCAAAAGGACTTTGTACACTTCTGCTGGTGTTTCATTTCCTGATCCGAGATTCCCCAAACCAGCACCCCGGCTCAGGACCCCTGACCCTGCACCAATCGTGCATGCCTAGTGGATTGCTGGACAGATCAAATCCTTCCCCAACTAATAACTCTTCCTCCCAACTCCATTCTGGCTCTCAAAATGAATCACCACTCACTTCTTTTCTGTACACTTTCTTTCTTTTTTGCTGGCTACTCATTTATTTTCCGCTTGGTGCAAGGCATGCATGCAGTTATGGGGTTTCAGGAAGGCTTGTGTGTGGCTTGGGTAGTAAAGAGGTGGACTCTCTCCACTTCCTTTTTGGTGTTTTGCTGTTTTGATATAAAAGAGCCCAACTGCTCCTTGCTCGCTGCAGCCTGCCTAGTCTATGAGTTGGTGAGGAGGGGGTAGAGAAGGAGGGGTGGAGGAGGGTCTCAAAAGAGTCTAGCACCTCTGGAAGTCTGGTGGCTGGTGGTGGCCACTTAGGATGGGGGCCCACTGTTGACTTTGCTGTGGTGCATGCCAGGCGGCTTCCTTGTGGCTTCCTGGGCCAGGTCACAGGTGATCGTGCTGCTGGAGACTCCAAGTGCACTGGAGATTCCAGTGCTGTGGCCATGAACGGGAGAGTAGACTTCCCGAAAAAGAAGCTCGCCAACCAGTGACCCGGGTCAGCTTTGGAGGGACCAGGATGGTGTGAGATGGCTTCCCCAGGATACTTGGCACCTCCACAGGAGCTGTTCCTGGAAGTGGAGCCCAGGTGGCGCCAGTGGTAGCCGTGGGTAGCCATGGGCGAGCCACTGGAGGGGATGGCAGCCATGCTCTTGCTTGTGGACTGGTGGACTCCTGGGCGGTGACCCCCTGCGGACCCTGGTGCATGATCATGGGTGTCAGAATGGGGCAGGGGAGAGGAGGGGGCACTGGGCCACAGCCCATTTGC